GGCGTCCTCTGCTCCACAGGCTCTGAAGACACTGTCCCCAGAGCCACCACGTGCCTCGTTGGTTTGTACACATTGATCCCAGCTCTGAAGCCATGCACGTCGACTCAGAAAAGTTCGTGGAAATGCGAACAGTGTGATTTCTAGGGAACTTGGGTTTTCTTCTTTGTATTTTCAGTCTCTTCCAAACTTTGTACGCTGGGTAGTATCTTAAATTCGATTAAAAATGACATTTTTAATGATCTTTCTAATCCTCAGATGCTGGAACGTGTGATGCTATTAGAGCCACCTGATTGATGGCATGTCTTTCTGTTTTCCTTACGTTGTTTAGATTGTTCCAGGTTGTTGGGAAGATAGACGACACACTTGCCTTGCTCAACCTGGTGAGTCGTTTTCATTTCTTGAGAAACGATTATGTTTGTAATCCTGTGTTCCCCGGAGAAGGGAAAGAAGTGCTCAGCCTCTAGAGCCTCTGGTGTTGAGAGCCTGGGCACCCCCCCGCCCCCCACTCCTGGACTCCTCACACATCCTCCCACAGGCACTGCTGACAGATGGGCCCCCTCCCCTCTGTTCCACCATGAGGGCATGAGCTGAGCTTCCTTGGGGTCTAGGAGTCATACAGTGATCTGCCTCTGGGGCGGCGGCACTGCCAGAGGTCCCCCTGGGCGGCAGGGCCTGCAGGACACCTGGGGTGGCCTGCCTGCCTTCCCTCCTTAACCCTCAGCTCTCTCCTTCCTCCTCCTTCCTAGGCCTGCATGATGACCATCACTTTCCTACCTTTCACTGTAAGTACCTGCAGTTGCCCCCTGGGTCCAGCCTGCCCTCCCCTGGGCAAGGGCACTCGACCCGGGATGCTCCCTCCTCAGAAACTCTCAGACCAGCCGGGTGGCCCAAGGCCCGACCACAGAGTTGCAAAGAGGAGAGAAAGTTCCAGGGGAGCCAGTGGCAGTCGGGTCTGCTCTAGGGGTGGGACACACCTGGGGTCTCCAGGCCGTTTGAAGGGGGAGAGGCTTCCAGGGGCCCCCAGCAGGGACTACGATGGCAGAGACACCAGCTTGGCCTCTGAGGGTCCAGCGAGCGGCATCGCTTCCACACCCCTGCCCCCGGCCCCTGCACGGCCCCCACCTCACCGCCTCCTGCCGTCCCGGGTTCCTCCCCAACTTGCGGCCCCCACATCGCCTCCCCCAGGGGCTCTTCCACAGCCTGGCCTCCCCCTGTTCGCGCCTGCCCGCACTCCCTGTCAGTCCCGACGGAACAGTGGTCTGGGCATGCAGGGCCGTGCGTCAGAGCATCCTTCGTGAAAGTGAGAACGTTGCAGCTTTAAAGGCTCAAAGCATTCTGTGGGTTGCTCCGGGTCTGCCACCACCCGGACCGCTCTGTCACTGAGTGCGCGGCGTGCCTCAGGCACAGCAGGGCCCTGCACAGCCTGGTTTTGTCTTGTCTCTTTGGCTGCAGTTTTCCTTGATGGTGACCTTCCCGGAGGTGCCTCTGGGCATCTTCTTGTTCTGTATGTGTGTGATCGCCATCGGGGCCGTGCAGGTAGGACACCCCAGCCCGCCTCCCCCTCCCCATACACTTGTTTTCCTGGAGCACACACTGTGCACACGTGTAGGATGTGGCGTGTCGGCCGCAGCGAGAGCCGTGCAGAGCGGCCGCCAGAGGCCCCCAGCCGCAGGCTGCAGCAGGACAGATCCAGAGGCTTTCCGAGCCCGGACTCCGTAGCGACATGGAGGGAGAGAGGCATGGGGCCTCCCAGTGTCCTGAGGCACTCATCTGGTGGGGCAGGGTCCCGGAGACCCCCCCACACGGCCCCAGGAGCAGAGCAGGGGCTCCTGTCCCCTCTCCCCACCCTCCGGGACACCCCGTGGGGAGCCTCCCAGCCAAACCTTCTTCTCTGGGGTCCCCACCCCTGGGGCGCCTGTTCATGTCCACGGGTGGGAGGGGTTACTGGCCAGAAGCCTCTGCCCGGGCCCTGCATCCTGCCGCTCCCACAGGCGCTGATCGTGGTGTACGCGTTCCACTTCCCCCACCTCCTGAACCCCCAGATAGAGAGCTCCACCCACAGGACCCTGTATCGGCAGCACATCCTGGGCATCGTCCTCAGGGGCCCGGCCTTGTGTTTCGCTGCTGCTGGCTTCTCCCTGTTTTTCTACCCCTTGGTGAGTGGGGGAAGCAGGGGGGTGGGCAGGGGTGACATCTCACTGAGCAGATGGCCACCAGAGGGTGGGGCGGGGGAGGCATCACCGGGGAGGGGTACAGAGCTGTGCAAAAGTCTCCAGGGGCACCGGGCAGCACGTGGCCTGGTGCCCAGGGTGTCAGGGAACATAGCTGGAGGGAAGGGCCCTCCCCCCGCTCCCCCCTGCTGCGGGGACTTGCTCTGCAGGTGAACGCGCACCACAGTCAGAGCCAGGCCTGGTCAGATGGGGGCAGCTGGTGGGCCATGCCTCACCACGTTTTCCCCAAGTGGGCAGAGCTTTAAGACCAGAGGCGAGAGACACAGGTGCCCAGAGTCTGGGCTGTGCTTGTTCTCTTGGTGAGTACGGAGTCTGCACAAAGCTGCCAGGGCAGCCAACACTGCCCCAGCCGGGGCGGGGTGGGGGGGGGGGGGGGGGGGGGGGGGGGGGAGGTTCCTAGCAGTGTTGCCATGACAGCAGGCAAGAAGCACCTTAGGAAAAACATTGGTGAACTCGAGTGAGCACGTGGGAGAGTGGACAGAGCTGTGCCTGTCCTAAAGACATGCGTGGAGGGTATGAGCCACCCAAAGAAAAAGCAAAGAAAGAAAATTCCTGAACTAAAGGAAACTGAAAAGTGGAAAAAAACAGAGGCGAAGCTGTTGGCAGAAGGAGCCCCATTGTGCAGCCCGGCTGAGGAGAGCCAAGGTCCCAGGTGGGGACTGGCTACCGAGTCTCAGGAAAACCCAGGTGTGGTCAGAGGTCAGGATGCTTCACACGGACATCTCTGGTTCAGTCTTCGGTGCTCTCCACTCCGCACCCTACACTTCGGGGGATGCGAGAACTTGGAGCTGTCTCAGCCAAGTCACAGAAATCAAGGTTGGCGAGTGCCTTTTACCTGTCAGCTAATTTTTTTTAACATTTATTTATTTTGAGAGAGAGAGACGGAGTGTGAGCAGGGGAGGGGCAGAGAGAGGGAGACACAGAATCCAAAGCAGGCTCCAGGCGTTGAGCTATCGGCACAGAGCCCGACGTGGGGCTCGAACCCACGCATCGTGAGATCATGACCTGAGCAGAAGTCAGATGCTCAACCGACTGAGCCACCCAGGTGCCCCTCGGCTAATTTTTTTTTTAATGTTTATTTTGAGAGAGAGTGAGTCCCAAGCAGGCTCCATGCTGTCTGTGCAGAGCCCGACGCGGGCTCCGTCCCACGAACTGCAAGATCAAGAGTTGGCCATTCAACCAGCTGAGCCCCCGGTGCCCGTAGCCATCAGCCAGCTTAACAGGAATATTGTTCTAGCAACGCTTCGTCTTCCAGAAATTGAGAGAAATCCTGACAAGCAGCTGTTTCAGAGTTGATGGTGGAAGCTTCTGCACGGTTCCCGCCTTTCCCCGAGCGCTCGTGAAGAATGGCGAGGTTTCAGAACCAGAGCGTCGTAAATATGAAGAAATGGTTGATGTTCTAGATGTCTAGCGCACATTTCAAGAGAATTCCAAGTTTGAAACAAATAGGCGGGCAAGGGCCACTGCAGAGCGTTGTCTGCATGCTGGGGGTGGGGGCTAAGCGTCCCAGGCGCCCTGAGGTCAGGTCCAAGCAGGCCGGGTGGGGGAGGGGTACGCCAGTGTGCAAGCAGGCAGGCAGACAGGCAGGTGTGGGGGGTGAGGGCAGGCCTCAGGCTTCTGCTTGGTCTCCTTAGTCTTGAGCGTGTGTAAATTGAAGGGGGTGCTGGTGGGAGGGGTGCGTGGAGTCAGGCAGGGCGTTCTTGGCTGTGGCCTGCAGTGGGGTGGCTCCTGGTGGGCAGGGCAGGGCCAGCAAGGGGGACGCACTGGACAGGAGTAAGGGGCAGCTGGCCCGAGGCCACGTACACGTCCTGGGGGGCAGCCTCTCCCGGCTGCGCGTTCATGGTGGCCGACAGCGGGTGTTGGTTGGACAAAGTCAGGGGCTGAGGATGATGGAGGTCATTGCATGGAGCGTGGAGGGACAGCTGGGGTGTGGTATGGGCAGTCGGGACGAGCAGAGCTGAGGACCAGGGCAGGCCGTGCCCACTGCCAGGGCCTGGACCAGGAGCCTGGGCTGAGTGGGCAGCGTCCATTGGGTACATGAGGAGCCTAGACAGTGACCTTGCCCTGATGCCATGATGACAGTGGGGGAGGGGCACCTCAGCCACCAAACAGGAAATGGAGGGCTGGGGGGGGGCCCAAGTGACCAGCGGGTCCAGTGGCCTCCGAGGGTAGGCTCAGGCCATGGCGCTCTGTGATGGAACAGTCCGCTGTCAGTCCGCCCCCACCCACCTGCCCATCAGCCTTCCTCTTGTTGCCTTCTTCCCTCTTCCCCTGCCGTGTGGCTCTGATCCTTTGCCCTCTCATCTCCTCACCTGGAGCCCCATTGCCCGCCACCACCTGTGACACAACACATGCAAGCTTCCTGCCCCCCAGGAAGCCCGTGGTCTCCATCCTCCTAGACATCCTTGCCACCACCTCCCTCAGCCAGATGCTGTGCTGGGTTCACCTTCTAGATCCAGCCCTTCTGACCACCCTGGCCCGGGCCATCCCGGTGTGGCTACCTTCCTGCAGCGGTGATGTTCTGGGGCCTCTGCATTGGGCCCCTCATGCCAGCATCTAGTAGAAGCCACTTGTGTTATTTCTCTGTCCCCTCCCCCCCCCCAAGATTGGGATTCCTCCTCCCCTGTGGCTCCCTCCCGCTGATCCTGCAGGGCCTGCCCACCGATTGGCCTCCTCCCACCTGCTTCACACCCGGGAGGCCCGTCCCTCAGTGTGTCTGCTCAGTGATGTGGTCGGGGCTGTAAGCAGATCTGTGATGCTGGCCTTCGTCATCTGTCTGCAGTGTGCCACTGTCTCCCTGATTGTACTCCCCACGTCAGGTGACCCTGAAGTACTTGGCTTGCAGGACAGAAGGGGCGGGAGCCCCCCATTGAGCGTAGGCCTGGAATGGGGCAGTGGTGGCAGGAGGAGGCGCCTCACTGCAGGGGTGTCGGCTGTGTGGGTACCACAGCCGCAGGGTGAGCAGAGCCCTCGTGGGACCTGCCAGTCTGCCCCAGCCTTGAGGGCTCGCGCTGCCAGAGCCCAGAACACGCCGCCTGGCCCTACAGCCTTTCTTGTTCAAATTACGGGGTGTGTGTGCAGTGAAGCCCACGCCACTGTGTCCTGTAAACACCATCCAGCGGCAACGATGGAGTGCACATCGCGTGCAGCTGCCACCTCCACCTCCTTCTGGAATGTTTCCCTCACCCCCCCCTGCTGCCTGGAAGCCACCAGTCGACTTTCCGTCTCTCTCTGTGGATCTGCCTGTGCTGGGTAATTCATGTAAATGGAATCATAAAACACGAGGCTTTTATGTCTGGCTTCTTTCGTTCAACATAACGTTTTCAAGGTGGGTTCACGTCGCCCACGTTTTCTCACCCGCGCGTCTGTCGACGGACTCTGGGTTCTTGCTCGTCTTCGCTGATGTGAACAGTGCTGCTGTGAACGTGGGGTGCACACACCT